GACTAGAAATAGTAGCACAAACGTAATGTAATCATATATGTAATAGTAATGCAAAAAGCTAATAAAATATAGGTTACAATTTGGCATTTAAAAAAAAAAAAAAAAAAAAAAAAAAAATTTGGCAAAATAAATTAAACAAAATTAATTAGAATTTAAGTTAATTTTTTAAATTGTAATTCTATATACAAAAATAAATTCTGTTAGTTACAATTAGTTATTAGTTAGTTATTATTAATTATTAGCTAATAACTAGTTATTTTAATCAATTATATAGTTAAATAACTAATTAAATAACTAATTAATAAAAGATTATTTCTTGTTATCTGGCAGGTATAACGTATGCACTAACGGAACTATATTATTGTCCAAATAAACTCTTTTTGACTAATAGTATACTAATAACTCGAATGATGGATGTATAAATAACAAAGTGATTATTGTTTTAATACAACTCTTTCTTAATATCTACTTCAATGATGAATAATAAATTACCAACTAATGAAAATATTGCAGAACTTCTTAAAATTTTACAAGTTCACAATACAGATAAATGTACAGCAAAATGGTTATAGGCAATTGACAGATATAGAGAAGCATCTGATTATGAAAAATCTTTTGAAAGCATATCAGAAGTCATCGAACTTGAAAATTTTCTCTGCATATTTATCACATGCTTAAAATGAATAGATAGGAATGAATATAAGGCTGAAAGCATTCACAACTATTATGCTTCTCTTGCACAATATTTAAAAAAATATTCAACAATTAAACCATACAACATATGAGATTCCTATAAATTTGAAAAGGCTTTATGAATCTTAGATGGTAAAATAAAGAAGCTTCAAAAGGAAGGATTAGGAGAAACTGATCAGTCTGCTACACTTATGATAGATGAAATTTTTCAAATTTTAGATCATGAATCAATGTCTGGAAATGATAATGAAAGTTTAGTTCGACATGTATTTTTTTGGCTTTCACTACTTTGTAGTTTGCAAAGTAGTAATACAGCCAAATTAAAAGTGAATGATATAAGCCGTCAACCTCATAGTGGGTTGTTTCTTGTACTTACACATGAAAAAATAATCAATGTAGTGCTTTGAAGCATAACAAATATAGAAAGTCAGCTGCAAGAAAATTACTAATTCCTCCTGATAATTTAAATAATCATTTCAAACCTGTTTATAATATTTTAAAAATGATTTCTCTCTATTCTCTTAATGCTGATGATGTGCTATTTTTAGAAACCTGTAGAGCTAAAAAAGGTATGTATATATATATATATACATATATGTTTATGCATATTCAATATACAGTACTAGTACACATATTAATATACTAATATTACTGTTACTTTATTTTAATATATTGCTTAAGATTTACAAAATAGCATTTGGTTCAAAACTAGTTCTATGGGTGAAAAAAAATTAGAAACTATGATGTCACAAATTTCAAATCTTATTAAAATCAATTTAGACAATGGATGCAAAATTACTAATCATTCACTACATCAAACAGCAATTTAAAGACTTAAGGATTTAAATATTCTAGAGGATGAGTGAATGGAATTCTTAGGACATAGAAGTCATAAAGGAATAAAGGCTTACAATAACTCAAATGAAGATCAAAAGATTCAGAATACAGCTTTATTAATTTCACTCGATTATGAAGATTTGCCATATGAAGAATTTAACTATTTTTCTAGTAATGGTATAAATTATTTAAATTTCGAGAATAATCCTAAAATTTATGATGATACATATTTATTATACCATTTAACTTTTAAATAGTACAATATTTTATTAAATCGATTATTTTTTATTTTAGATTCAATTTTTATGACAGCAGCAGAAAACTACACATTTGATAATGGGCCAGAACCATATAATGAATATTCAGGTATAAATTACTCTAATAGCTAATCTACAACTAACAGCATATTTTAACATTTTGCTACTTTATAGATTCAAGTAATTCATCACCTATCCTACCACCAGCAAGATCGAATTATGACAAAAGATCAACCTTCAGATCCTGTATTCTAAGATTATCAAGCCATCAGTCTTTTTTAAAATTTGTCTCTAATCAAGCAGCACCATATTATATACCAACTTTTCATGATATCAAAAAACTTCATAAATCTTTATCTGATTCTAATAATAAGCAGGAAATACATTACCATTTTCATTATCATTTGTAATATAATTTGCAATTAACAGTTCCTTTATATATGTAATTTACCATAGATATAACGTTTATTATAAAATATATTTTATTTAAAATTGAGAATTTTAAAAAATTACAATTTGTATGTATCATATAATTTTAATAAACATCTGCAGCAATAATATGGAATTTTTTTCGTTAGTATATACATAGTACCTGCTGGATAAATTATAATATTTAGCTATATGTTAGTTTTATATTTTATACTATATATTATTAAAAAAGTTTAATTAAATTAAAAGATTATTTAATATTTTTACATTTATATAATTTATTTTTTAATTAAAAATATATTAATAACTACTAATTAAATTAATAATTTTTTATTAGAATTTTGTAAGTTAATAATATTTAAATAAAAATATTTATTGAACTTAATTATGTAATTCTTTTTAATTAAAATTAAAAAATTTTGATACAATTATTATTTTATTAGATGTTTATATAATTTTAAAAAATGTAACTAAAATATCTTGATAACTATTTAATAAAATTTAATACATTAAAAATATTTTCATCACTCTCTCCAACGATCACTTGGACACAAAACCGGTGAAAAAAAAATCAACTTTTTGCACTAACAGCAATAGATAACACCCTTGACTACACTAAGGAAAAGTAACAGCAACAAAGAAAGCAACAAATAAGCTTAGAAGCAAAAAGCACTGCAAGTGT